AGAGGAAGAGACAAAAGATTTTTATCTGAGTGCATTGTTTTTCTAAGCAACGGGCAAACAAGTTCAAAACTTACAGGCTTTCTACTTGAATGAAAGTCAAAAACACTTCCCTTATCAATGACATTTTGAGACCACCGTAAAACCTTACTAACTCACACTAATGGGGAACTGTCAAAATCACTGAAGAAAAATGAATTACATCCTTTTTAAACTAAACTCCTTCACTTCCAATGAAAAAACAATTTTTTTTTTTTAAAGAAATCTTTATCTCCAGGGTGCCTGGGTGACTCAGTAAGCAGCTGACTTCAGCTCAGGTCAGGATCTCCGGTCCTGGGATGGACCGCCCCCTGGGATGGACCACCCCCTGGTCGGGCTCCATGCTCAGCGGGGAGTCTGCTTGTCCCTCTCCCTCTGCTCCTCCACCCCCCCCCATTAATCTTTATTTCCAAATAGTTCAATATCTTGCCCTGTTTTGAAAGGTTGCTCAGCACCTAATACATTTGTTATAACCACGTTGAGTGTTCATACAAAAAACAGGAATGGCTAAAGTTCCTGAGAAGAGTTCTCTCCCTAAAAACAATAAAAGTTCAACACCCGCTGTGATCCTGCTCACACAGCTCACTTCTCAGGCAAGCTCTTCCTTCTTAGTCATGGGGACACAAACCTCAACTGGGCTCCCTCCCACCTCTCTCCAGTTCTGAGGGAGCGGGCAGAGGCTTGCCATATGAACCCAGATCTATCCCTAAAACAAAACCAAACAAAAACCCTGCAGATTCCAGACTTGATCTGTCCAGACCCATCTGAGAATTAACGAGCTTCTTTTAGGCACTCAGAGAACTAAGCCTGTCATGGAAACACTGATTCAACCATAATGAGAATCGACATAAAACCACACAAATGAACTAAACATTCTTCCACCCAATCAGAGGCAAGCTAAAGCAAGAGCCTCAGGATTAAAATAAGCTGTTGGTTTTTGTTTTGGTTTTTTCCTTTGTGGTCCTGCTCATTTTAGCCTCTTCCACTGCCTCGATTTTGCAACTGTTTATGAGACCGTGGGAGTGGGGGAGGTGGGAGAGAGACCGGGAGCCCTCTGGAGAGGAGCAGAGACAGGCGGAGCACTCACACCAGGCTGGGGAATGCCAACCAACACTGCGGTTTCGGTCAGGCAAATTACAACTTCTGGCCTGCGGGGGGCCAACAGTCTGTTTGGGGTAGTCTGAAAACAAGCCGATCTGAACTCCCACCTCCCACAACACTTAACTGTGGAATGAAGTACTTACTTTACAAAGATCAGATTCTGCTCACTATTTTTAGCCAGCATTCTTTTTTTTTTTCTCTCTCTCATTATTTTTTCCTGGATTTTAAATTTTTTTCCGAAATTAGAAAGGCTAATTACGTGAAGTAACATTATTATTGGAAAAAGGAGAGTTAGGCTAAAAACACACACACACACACAAACACACAAAAAACAAAACTGTCCAACAAACAGAAATAGTAAAATCCTAAGGAGGGATATATTTTAATTTCCCCTTGGACCCACAAGGTAGAGTTTGTGAGCCCTGAGGACGCAACACTAAATCCCAGTGAACGTCATTCGTGCAGGAAATGTTGGGGCAAGTGTGGAGGCCCCTGCGGCTGCTGCCCCTCGTCCTGGGTCATTGCCTGCTAGAGCGGGAGGGGACAGCCGGGATGGAGACACCAGCTGTGGCCGGAGGCTGGGGGACCAGAGCCTCGCCGGGCAAGGGGCGGGGGAGGGGCAGCAGCGCGAAGAGCCGAAGCCGGGAATGAGGCAGGTGAGAGTCCCGGAGATGGGGGGAGCCAGAGCCCGCGAGGGAGGAGGACTCAGGTCGGGGAGGCCCGGACCGCGCGCGGGTTTGTACGAGCCCCCGGCTCCCCGCCCTCGGAAGTGTGTCTGGGTTCTTTGCTGTTTGAGTTTTCTATCTTTTTAGAGCCGGACCCAGGTCCCAGCGGCCCCAGGGCCGAGGTGCGGAGGGGAAGCCCAGCCGGAGCCCGCCCGGGACACCTCAGGGGGCGACAGGGGCGGAGGGAGGGAGATGGGGCGCCAGCTGACGGCGCCCAGCGAGCCCGGGAGATGCCCGCGACCCGGGGGCGCCCAAGCTCCCCGCCCGCAAACTTTCCCTGCCAAGTGGGGGTGGCCCCACCCTGGAGAGGGGGATCCCCATGCCTCCCCGACTGTCCCCTGGGGCTGGTCACTTACGGGCAGGCCGCTGGGGCTCCGACTCTGGCCGCCGCCATCCACAGCGGAGGAGGAGCGGGAGGAGGGAGAGGGGGAGGGGGAAGGGGTGGCGGGGAAGGGGGAGGGGGGGGAGGGCCCGGAGCCAGCAGGAGTGGCGCGGCGGGGAGGGGGCGGCTACTCCGTAGAGACTCCCGTCGCTGCTCCACCCCCGCCCCGTTTCCTGCCGGCCCCCCTTCTCCCCTCACTCCCTCTTTCCCGCCCTGGATCCCCCCAAAGTCTTTCTGGTGTCTGATTCTCCATTCTCTTCCCTCTGGCGCGTCTTCCTTCCCTTGAGTCTCCGGCCCCCAGGAGGGGGAGAGCATGCTCCCTCCAGCAGAAGTTGGTGGGGAGGGATTTATGTGAGCTGCAATATATGGGTATAGGACACCCCCTTGAAGCAGATGTTAGGGACCCTTGGCAGGTCTGAAGCCAACCTGCACTTTCTGGGCCTTTGTCATCATCTCTGGGTGGTGGGATGGTGGGATGATTGGGGGGGGGGGTTTTTCTGTGGTCATGCTTTCTGCGTTGCTTCATTGAGAGGGTTTTTTTATTTTGTTTGGTTTTCTCTTGTGATTAGGAGAACTAAAGAATCATTTTTGAAGCCTCTCCTGAGTGCCTCCTCTTTTCCCTGCAGGTGGGACCAGCCCTGGTCAGGGTAAGATGAGAGGTACAGACAGAACCTCAGCTTCCCGGGTGAGTCAGTGCCTAGGTGGAGGCCACTGGATGGCTTGTGAAGGGCCAAGCTGTGTGGATGGGGCAGGAGGTAACTATTGATAGATGCCCCCTGTATGCTGCCTGCAGAGTACAGAAGAGAAGGGGAGCTGTCCTCCCAGGAGAGGTTAGAGGGTGGCTTCTAGTCCCGACTCCATCACCTGCTAGGAGTTGCCTCCAAGCAAGTCCTTTGGCATCTCAGCCTCTTGCACAAGTGGGGCTGCCTCACTGGGAGCCAGTCAGAATGAAAGGAGATCTGCCTGTGCCTTTTATCCTGGAGGGACATCCAACCCCAGGATGGAAAGCTTGGGCTGGGTTTGAACAGACTCAGTGGGGAGAAAAGAGGCCATTCCAGGCCCTGGGACTAGTGCTCTGGAGGCCAGCAAGACTGGAAAGCTTAGAGGAGGTGGGAACTGTTTGAATGGGAAGGTGGAACCGGCAGAAAATAGGAAACCCGTGAACATTTTTAAGCAAAGGAATATTTTGATCCAGGTGGTGTCCTATTCACTTTTGTGTTCCCAGAGCGTGGCATACAGTAGGTACCAGTAAATCCTGTGAACTCAAAATGGCGACTGAAGCATACTGACTGAACAGTCTGAAAGACAAACTATTTGGGAAGAAAGAGCTTGAGCCCAAGGAAAGGAGTTAGAAGGCTCTAGTGAACATGTCAACCTGAAGTGCTATGCCTGGATGGTGAAGAGGATGAGGGAATTCCGTTGACACTTCCTTGCCTTTGCATAGCAATGTGATTCTCTCTCTTTTTTTTTAAAGATTTTATTTATTTATTCATGAGAGGCAGAGGGAGAAGCTGGCTTCCCGCCGAGCAGGGAGCCCGATGCGGGGCTCGATCCCAGGACCCTGGGATCATGACCTGAGCTGAAGGCAGACGCTTAACCATCTGAGCCACCCAGGCACCCAATGTGATTCTCTTTTAAATGCTCTTTGGGGTGTAGGCTTGTTTTTGACCTTGGATGGAGTTCCTTGGTGAAATAGAAAAGATACTCTGTATCCTTTTCAACCACCAGCCTGAAACTACATTCAGAGAGGGCACAGCGGTGCCTGAAGTCACACCGCCAGGATCTATTTAGGATACTTCTATTCAGATAAAATTTCTAGTTAGTCACACCGCCAGGATCTATTTAGGATACTTTTATTCTCAGATAAAATTTCTAGTTGTGTTTATGCTTAAAACACCCTCAACGAACTTTTCTGTTCTGGGTCCTACTCTTTTCCCTATTTCCTCCAGCCACCATCTTGGTGATGGTCAAGGGTCCAAGAAGGATAAAAGAGAGAACAGGGAGTGAACTGATGGGCAGCTTTTCAGAGTCTTCTGTGGAACCAGACAGGTGATGGCCCCAAGTCAGCCTTCTGGTAGGAGCTGAGAGAGGTGCAGAGCAAGAACAAAGGAAGAGGGAAGCAGAGGAAGGGAAGAAAAAGGTGCCTTGACCCTGGGCATTCTGGCTGAAGCTCCACATTGAACCTCCTCTGTCCTGTGAGCAAGTCAAGAGGCTTTCTGGGGAGGCCAGCATATCTCAGGAAATGCCCAGGTAACAACTTGAGAAAGCACTCATAGAGGAAACAATATACTTGACAAATGGCAATCGTCGTTGCATTTAAAGAGAGTTCTGAGTGCACCTTTTTAATTCTGCCATCTTTGAATAAGTAGTATGGCTTTGAATAGTAGGTTGCCCACCTGGCGAAAGAAATCTCTTTGGAAACTTTGACACGTACAGTCCCATCATTTTCTAAAGACCAAATATAGTTGGTTGAAAACCACTTACCTTTTACAAGGGACTGTCCCTCCCCTTTCTGTGTGACTCAGTGTTGCCCCAAAGGTGGCCACTTTCTCGCATGCAGATTTCTTTCTTATAACTCCACCACGTATTTCCAAAGACTCCTTTCTGGCAATGCCCCTTTGTGTCCAAATCTGGTGGTAAACAGCTCAGCCTGGCCTCAAGAGCTAAGCCACAACAGCCCTCCGTCACCAGCTGGTAGCCCATCTTACTCCACTTCCTGTTCTTTTCCTTGCTCTATAATAAGTAGACTCTCAGACTAACTCATTCTCCTTTTTATTAACAGTTTTTCTTTTCCTGGCAGGCTTCACAGAAATCATTTAAAACTTTCGTGCTGTTTAACAAAGGGTCCCCAAAGTGTCTGCAGATATGACCTAGTAGATTAACTTGGAATTCCACAAAACTCAAATCAGCTGAAACAGTCAGGATCCATTAATATAAACTCAAACCAGTTTGCAGAAATGCCTGCAGGGGACATGGTTGGGAAAAGTGAGGACTTCAGATTTAGGACAAGCTTAGCCCTAAAAACTTGATAAAAACATTCCTCTCTAAAAACTTTACAAATCTCTATTTATATTACAACATTCATTCAAAATAGCGGGAGGGCTTTTGGAAAACTATATTCAAAAAAATATTACCCAGTGGATGGCTTCAACAAAAGTGAAAATGAAACGGGGGGAAAAAATCACCGTTTTACCTGTATGATGCATTCTGACCTGATGTTTGAAGAATACACGATTTTTAAACAACTTTCTCCATGAGGAAACCTGAATACTCTTTGGATAGAAATTTCCAGAGATAAACACATCTTCACTGAGAATGTCAATCAAAACCAATGATGGTTACGGGGATGATCACTTCCTTCAGAATGGCCCAAGGCTGGCTATCCTTTATCCTGGGGATGGGATACTCTTAGCTGTGGCTTGAGCTATACAGTTGGCCAGTCCCTTGGCCTGCTTCCTAAAATGTATCCAATTAGTATTTCTTGGCCACCTGCTACAAAACATTCTGCTAGGCACTGTGGGAAAGTATGGATAAAAGCATGGCTCCTGCCTCATGGCATCTGTAGCTGCTCAGGGAGACGGCACACAGTATGATGACTGCATGAGGTATGTTGCTAGTTTAACAGAAGAGGTGTTCTGAAGAAATAAAAGAAAGCTGAAGAGAGGGTGAATATGCCTTAGCATCTGAGCAAGCCCTGAGTGACACTGTGTTCTTTGTTAGTTAACTGAACTGTGTGGTTTCTATTCTTGGACCAACGGTATGTCACCACTCAGCTATTCCAATGGTGTTTAGGGAGCAGTGGGTTCAGATTAAAGCTCCTGGTAAAACAAACACAAAGGTTCCAAGTGGACGTGCCTTTCAAGACCCCTATGCCCACAAACAAGACAAGAGCCCCCAGCCTGTTTCCACCAGGAGTCCATTCTTCTAATCCTCTCCTTAGGAAAAGTTATTCTGATGCTGAATAGCCTTTTCTTTCAAAGATTCGGGAGAGCTATCACGGGTTTTCCTGCTCTAATGCTTTGATTGCCAGTTAATTTCCTAATTTGGAGCTAATTACTGAGCTGCCTAAAAATTTAAGGCACAGGCAACCATCTACTGACAGGCTTTCCATTTATCACCACGGTGGCCGAGGACATGGCCCTTAGCCGAGAACAGAAGCTGCCTCCACCATCACAGAACAGACACCTCCTAGTCAGGGCGGCTCTGCCAGATGGTTTCTTAGCCATCACCAACCAAGTGGCTCTCTTCATATGTTAAAGTTACAGAGGAGTCTGAAGGCTTTTAAGAGCTGGAAGTAACTTCCAGGTTTAATTCTGCATAAAACAAAACTATAAACGGTACATTTTTCTGTCTGGGGATTTTTATTATAAAGGACTTTAATTCATAGTCCTGTGGAAAGAATTTTTTTGCTCGCTGTTTCGCTGGCTTTCTTAGCTAACTGGCTCCTCGTTTTACTTATTTTTTCTCACATTTTTGTTCAGAAATAGTGTGGCTGCGTATTTGTTTTGTTTCAATTTAATGGATAATGAATTTGGAAAATGGTCATGTTATTAAAAGTATCTGTTAGTTTAACTTATGATAGACTTAGTTTCTTACCAAAAGCAATGGAGAATCCAGTTTTATCAGCTTGAAAGGTGAACAGTATTGCTTACCACAGCATAACGAGGGGTGGTGTTTAAAGTGATAGAACAAGACACATACTGTTCATCAGTTCCTCAAGTTGTGCCTGGGGAGTCTCAGCCTAGCCAGGGCTGCTCAGGTGAACAGCGCCACCTTGAGTTGTGCCGCAGGCTAACCACTATCCCTTTCCTATTAAAGAGCCTTTTTTTCTTCACTTGGAATTTCATATAATCCCAATTTTGATTAAAAACATGCATCTTTACATATGCCTGAAAAAAGAGCAGGGATAAACAAAAAACGTTAATGGCTGAATCTCTAATGAAATGTATGCTCTTGATACTTTTCCTCATTTTCCAAATTTTCAACAGTTAGCAAGTAGTACATCATCAGGAAAAAGTAGGACATGTCATTGCAATAAGTTCTGAAGACTCCATCTTCTGCAGGAAGCAATGCATGATTAAATACTTTTTTCCTTTTTCTTTTTTTCCATTTTAGTTTCACTCCCACATGGACTTCAGGCAACTATCTAAGTCCCGATTCTGTACCTAGACTAGAATCACCTCTCACTTTGCACTTTCCATGCCCTAAGAGGCCTAGACAGAAGAGACAAGTCTTTTGAGAGTTGGGTTGCAGTGGTAAGTACAGGGATAAGGCAGTCACCGGAAGGACTTCTCTGTCCCAAACCCTCCAAAGGAGGCATAGAAACAGACTAGAAATGCCACAAGGACTGTCACAGAACACTGCAGGCCAGACAGGAGCTGGAAAGCCTAAGTTTATGAGGGAGCTAATCAGAATGGTCATTTGCTCTTTTCCCCACAGTGTTTGGGGGCCTAGACTCAGCTGCAGTGAAGACAGCTGGTCCAACTGTTAGAGAACTAGAAATGAGCAGGTCACAAAAACAGAAAGGGCTAAGGGGCCAAGCCCAGACAGGCCGAGCAGAATGGGACTGAGTTGATTCACTCAGAGGTCCCCAAGGCAGGATCCCAACACTGTCATGACTATGAGGACTGGGTCTCTCTCTACACCAGGCAGGAGAGGCCAAAGAGTTGGCCTTTGTGCTGAGCACAGAGGGAAGCTGGTAATGAGCTCTCAGGCAGAGCAGAATAAAACATTTTGGAGGGTGACTAGCAACTGGCTAGCGAGGAGGTTCAAAGGAGATGCAGCAGGTACGGAGGTGGGGAGGAGGGGTTTTAGGAACACCTGAGCAAATCTGGGGACTTGAACATGGGGTGGAATGGGCCGGTACAAGCAGCTGGAAGAAAGGAGCAATATATTTAGGGAATGCTGGGAGAGATACCCCTGAGGTTGACACTGAAATGATACAATGTTGATGAACTAAACCAAGAAGAGCCTGAAGTATGATGGCAGGTACCTGTTAAGGCAAAACTCAAAGCCTTAATAAAGGATTGACCAGACAATTGTGACAATCTGGGGAATCAGAAAGGTCATATCTAAGTCCACTGGGATTTTGTAACTTTTATAAAACATACTTTAATAGGTTTCAGTTTCCCTTATCAAATTTTCATAGCCTGAAAGTTTGACAGAAGTATGAATTTATTGACATCAATTTCCTTAAGCTATTATTCCAACACAGAGAAAGTACTGAAGAGCTGAAGACAATGATAATAAACCCACAAGATCTGAAGTTAAGTCTGCAAGACCCACCCCCTCTGAGAGAGAGAGAGAGAGAGAAAATATGAGTAAGTCTTCAAAAAGAATCTGGAGACTGCTTCCAATTATAGCAAGAAGTCATGACAGTTGGACAATTTAAGCATTTTATCCAGAAACATAGATCTATTTCATAGATACCAAATCGATTACCATACAATTGAGTTTGAAAATATACAAAATATCTGTTGTTCTTACATACTGAAATTAAAACCTAATTTTAAAAAGTGCACAGTAAAAACTGCGTAAGGAAACCTACAATATCCATGGTACATGTATTGTTCTCCATTTTACTGTCAACATTAAATTCTGTATTTGCCTTACTGGTTACAAATATATTTTAAATGTTTCAAGGCCATTTACAACACTGACTAGTTTACTAAGTCCGACAACACCCCAACTTCCTGAAGGCGGCCAGCACTGGACACTGGACGAGGGGTCTGGGTCCTGTAGCTCCGTGCAACAGTAGCAGCTTTGGAAAGAAGTCGCCAACCATCTATGTGTAAACTATCGACTCTTGTTCTTTTTAGAATTTCCCTGTGCAAAGAAAAATATCAACAATAAGAACACAAACATCTAGAAAAATAACTCCTAGTTTATAGCCCAAGGTGTCTGGAAGGCCATACTTCTCTTTGGAAAAGAGAACTGCTGATAACCTTGCGTCGCTAACTTTGAATCAAAAAGCAGTTTGTTGGGCGCCTGGGTGGCTCAGTTGGTTAAGCGACTGCCTTCGGCTCAGGTCACGATCCTGGAGTCCCGGGATGGAGTCCCACATCGGGCTCCCTGCTCGGCAGGGAGTCTGCTTCTCCCTCTGCCCCTCCCCCCTCTCATGTGCTCTCTCTCATTCTCTCTCTCTGAAATAAATAAATAAAATCTTTAAAAAAAAAAAAGCAGTTTGTTACTTTTAACTCCCCCACGCTCTTATTTCCATGGACCCTATCCCCCTGAGGACTGAGGATCAGCAACAAAGGAAGAAAACAAAGCTATCCGGGATTTATCAAACCTCAAATACTCATTTTGTTCCAAAGACGGGAAGTTTATTGATTTCAGACACTGAATAAAAATTTTTAGCCTACACAGGTTTCTTTGTTGCTTAACAAATACCTTCGAAAGAGGTTTTTTTGTTTTTTTTTTTTTAAAGATTTTATTTATTTATTTGAGAGAGAGAGAATGAGAGAGAGCGAGTACATGAGAGGGGGGAGGGTCAGAGGGAGAAGCAGACTCCCTGCTGACAGCAGGGAGCCCGATGCGGGACTCGATCCCGGGACTCCAGGATCATGACCTGAGCCGAAGGCAGTCGCTTAACCAACTGAGCCACCCAGGCGCCCCCGAAAGAGGTCTTAATAGATACTAATTTTGAATATGTGCCAAGTAACACCCCAATGGCAGTGATCTGAAAAAGGAAGCTCAGATACTGGCTGAAAATGAGCTAAGGGCAGATGTCTTAACTCATTCCCAGTCCCCCCACATATGGAGATTTGGACTTTCCAGTTTTATGTAACTTCCCTTCTTTCTGGAGAAGTTCACTTTGTAAGAAAACATTGTAGGGCGCCTGGGTGGCTCAGTCGGTTAAGCGACTGCCTTCGGCTCAGGTCATGATCCCAGGGTCCTGGGATCGAGTCCCACATCCGGCTCCCTGCTCTGCGGGGAGCCTGCTTCTCCCTCTCCCACTCCCCTTGCTTGTGTTCCCTCTCTCGCTGTGTCTCTCTCTGTCAAATAAATAAATAAAATCTTTAAAAAAAAAAAAGAAAGAAAACATTGTAACTTGATTCCTATACTTAACTGTTAGGTACAAATACATTTTTGTCATGTGTGTGGTTAATGCTTGCAGAACACAAGCATTAATAACAAGATGATAGCCAACAAATGGTTCCAAGATGTTTACTTGGCATTCAACAGAGACCATGTCAACTCCACCATAAGATGATGCTCCAACAATCTAAATTACTAACAAACTGGACAGGGGAGGGCGCAAAATATAGGGATCATGGAATGATCATAAAAAGGTTAACAGAGGGGCGCCTGGGTGGCTCAGTCGTTAAGCATTTGCCTTCGGCTCAGGTCATGATCTCAGCGTCCTGGGATCGAGCTCTGCATCGGGCTCCCTGCTCAGCGGGAAGCCTGCTTCTCCCTCTCCCCCTGCTTATGTTCCCTCTCTCGCTGTGTCTCTCTCTGTCAAATAAATAAAATCTTTAAAAAAAAAAAAAAAAAGCCTTCTGCAGCTCTAGAATCAGAAAAGCTCCCCTAAAATCATTGCTACTTCTTTCCAAATGTCAGGCATTAAACCAGGCTTTTTCCTAATATTCAAACTAATGTACGTGCTTTCTACCATGACGAGGAACATAACCTGTGAACTAGCTGTTGTCCTGCTGGGACATCACGAAAAAGGCCAAAGGAGTTCCAGGAGGCAAGATTCAAGAGGACCGACCCCCCTACTCATCACCTCCAAGCTTGTTTCCTGAAGCACAAGTAACTGAAGAACCATAATCAAAACCACACTGTCTGGCTACAATCATTACAAGATGCCCCAGGAAAGTATCACGATGCTCTCCTGCTCTCTCTCCAAAGTAGCCAGAGGCAGATCAATAACCTGAAACTACACGGGAAAACAATATTACATAATGCGGGTTCGAATGCACTCACGTGACAGATTCCAAGGAGACACCAACTGAGCAGAATGCTGCCCTCACCACCACTAGCCGATGCTAAGATCAAGCCATAGTGTGTTCATCTCTATTTCCTCTCCAGTGCCAGCACACAGAAGGAACTCAATACATGGCTGCTAGGTCAATGACAGGCAACAGCAGATTTCCAAGAGCATAGGTTAGAGACGGTAAATCCCCACTGGCAGTGGTACATACTGTCTGAGTTACAAAATGTGCAAAGCATCTGAGATGATGCATGAAACCAAGTTCCTGGCTTCCTGAAGCCTACCTTTCCCGGTAAAAGAGCATATCTATTATGTTACAACAACAGACATGGGATATGCAGATATGCGCTTCCACATACAGGTACTGCCAATATCTACTGACCCCAGCCTAGACAAGCAGTGGCTTTATGGGAAATGAAATCAAAAGAAATTTCTGGAAAAGGACAAGATGTTCCTAGGTTATATGGATGTGTATGAAAATAAACCTGCTAAAGAAGGTGAGTCTTCAACAGCACCATTTTAGACTCCTATATATAAAAAAAAGTATAGCCATCATAACCTCCCTAAAAGTCCCCCTAAATGACAAAACAGTAGCAGAAATGCCAAAAGTGCCAAAAATCAAAGGACATAGTATTAAGCCTTAAAGGTCAGACCTTCTCTCAACTTACAACTCAAAGACACTGAATTTTACTTTTGGATAACAGGACAAATGATATGAAGAAAAATCATTTAAAAACACTTTAAATCTCTTAACCTTTGCTCCTGAAATGCACAGCAATGAAATACCTTATATTAGATACATTACATATTAAATATTATATTGCAGAGAGACTCCCTCCTCCTCCTCCCCTACCTTACTGGACATCTTCAGTGTGTCAATCTCTTCTCTCTGTTTAGATAATGTCTCGTTCATGCTGCATAGGTGGTCACTCATCATACTTAACTGATCCTCGTAACTCCTCTTGGTAGTTGTCAGCTCATCCTAAATGGCAAAGGAACAGAGGGAAAAAAAGAAAAATCAAAACCCCACTAGTCACACCACTCCAAAGCTTTTTTAATTTATAGAAGGAATTTGAGAAAAGCAACCTATCAAGACGGCCTATCTGATCAATTAACCTGAAGGACAAGCCACAGGCCTAATAAGAGCACAAAATTAAAACAAATGCGGGGGAAGGTTTTCTTTTCAGCCTGCAAAATATGTTCTGAATCTCTTTGCAAAAAGACTGTCCTACATCAGGTATAAAACTGTCACAAAAAAACAAAAGGGCTACATTATCTTTCCAAATCCCTTCGGGTTTTCCAGAGCCTTTGGTGAGGTGGGCAAGTCTGCCTCTGGCACATTCCCACCAGCCCAGTACCTACTGGCTCAAGGCCCTCAGCCCTCAGGGCAGGCCCCTCCCTGGAAGAAGCACCTTTGTCTGGCTTCCCATCTCTCTGCTCTCTCCAGCCCCTTAAAATCTAATCCTGTGCTCCTAGCTAATCTGATAAACTAATCTGAAACCAGGAGGAAGCAGGTGTTAACTGTGCTAATGTATTTTTTCTCCACCTGTATCATGTTTATATTTAATAGAGGCTTTCTGGAAACAAGGCTTCAAAACAAAGCAGTGAGTAAGGAAGATTATTTTGCTGCCCTAGCTTTCAGTTTAGGCCAGTTTTATGAAACAGTAAAGAGAAGGAACAGAGTCATGTGAACAGAACAAGTGTCCAGCCCACCACGACAGGGATTAGCGTAAGTATCATTTAAGGAAATGCTGACTACAAAGCTCTTGAAAGTAAAATCAAGTCAGAGAAACAAGCCATATACAACTTTTTGCCTGACATAAGTAAGATATTACTTTAAAATGAGTTAGAAATAAACTGGATGGAAAAATGTATGTCTAGAGGGCGAACACCACTACTTTGGAAAGGAAATGCGGACCCTGCCGCCCCAGAACTTCCAGAGAAAACCATATGAACCCCGTGCAGGGAGCACTTCTGAACCCACCTGAAGTCTGCTGATGCTCTGACCCGCTACTTTCATCTCTTCTGTCAGTGCCTCTTTAGACTTTTCAGCCAAGGCCAGTCTCTTCGAGAGCGCTCGGCACTGTTAAATCAGAAAACATCCCATGACCTCAGAGGGCATTTCCCCAAACCAAATTCACTTCAGGCCTGTACCACACACTGGAGTACACATAAGATGTGGTCCCCCTCACACCACTTTAATAAGGAAAAAAATCTACCAACCCAAGCTCGTCAAGGTTTCTCCTAGCTCTAGCCTGATGACCAGTAGTTACAAACAACTTAAGAAGTTTTTCTGCTGTTTTTTTTTTTTAAGATTTAATTTTTAAGTAATCTCTACATCCAACGTGGGGCTTGAACTCACAACCCCAAGATCAAGAGCGGCACATAATACTGACTGAGCCAGCCGGGCACGCCCCTTAAGAAGTTTTTATACATTTACCCAGGATTCATTTATACTCACACCGGATGAGAACAGAAGTGGTTATTTCAAAAGTTATCAATGGCATCTGACCATGCAAGATGAATCCTAAGGCACTTTTCTTGTGTTTTAAGTCCTCTATTAGAGACCACGTTACAGAACAATAAAAGCTTTACAGCCCCAAGCTACAGATTAGGCTTGCTCTACGGGGAGGACGAAGTGAGTGCAGGAATGCAAAGATCCCAGTGCTTTCTTTGGGGTTCTACCAAAGCTAGGCTACCCAGAGACAGAGCTGATCAAGAAGAAGAAAGAAAAATTCTGTTTCTCACTATTCAAAGACGGTGTGCCATTAAAAGGCTTGCTACACTTTCTGATAAGGCCAGGCGACTTTGACAAGGAGGATCTGTCGAGACACATCTGAATCTGTGTCCACATCAGACACTCAGACTAACCATTCCAGTAAAGTCATATGGAGGGGGTCACCACTTCCTGTTTATAAACAAGGAAAAACTAGGGCAATGTAGAAATTCTTGTAGCACATTGTGCTGAAGACATTTACCAAGACAAGCAAATCTCTTGGAAACAAAAGAGCCTCAGATATTCCCCAGCTACTCATTTCATTCCTCACAAGAGAATTTCAGGAAAGTTCTGCCAGTCAAATCAACCACCATCTATTAACCAAACATCTACTATGTGCTCAGCACCACACCTGAAACAGAGGGAGAGAGTTTTGCAAGGTATGGGTCTTCAGGGCGATGGCAATCAAGCCTGAGACGATACCTCAGAAGGCAGTTAGGGACCCAGACAAGGACAGGACTCCCAGGCTCAGAAGCTCAGCCCTGAGGTCACACTGGAGGATTTTCTACAGTGCAACCAGCTGTTACCAAAGAGGGAGGTAATGGCAGCTGGTGAGCAACACGGAGCTTAAGACATCATTTATTTCAGCAGGGAAGAAGCAGCAAAGCCCCTCTCCACTTTGAGCAACCGGCCTCCCATCAACCTCTCCAAGTCCGCAGTACAGGAGAAAAATCACGCAGTCCCCATAAAGGGTGCTGTCTTTTCTTTCTCAAGTTCTTTAACAACTTAAAGCATCATAATTCTCCGTCTGCCATCTGTAACTGACCTTTGAAAGTTTTAAATCAGATACCTTACAGGTATTCTTATATGTTGAGCGACAGCCATTCTATCTTATCATTTGTCTTGTACTCTGATTTCTGTACTTTCTTCCTTCATTTTCTCCCTTGTAATTAATGAACTGTGTATTATTTTATTGAGTATCTTGCATAGTGTTTTTCTAATTCTCCTAAGAAAATGAATTATTTGGTTAGGGAAGAAGAAAATGTAACAAAAACTAAGATTATATAACAAAGGCTTAAAACATTTAACATTTTTCATTTCATCATTTATAGGGCCTCATTTCTACAACTTGTCACTTAGAAATTAAAGAGTATTAAAAAAAGAAGAAGAAGAACCAGGCATATTTTGCTTTTTAATTTCTTTGCAGGAAAATTCCTTGACTTGTGAATGTCTACCTGCCTGTAATTCTCTAAAACAAGTAATCACTCGAACATCTGTGATGTGACCATAGGAAAGGCGACCTAGAAGTCTCTCAACTATCTTTCGGTAACCTGGAAATGACAAATCAGTCCTGTATTTATTGAAATGAAGATTTTTGATTGGATATAGGCCAATCAATATGAACTCCAACCAAATTCACATGGATGCACAGACACAGACATCTGTCTTCCAGTGAACAGCAGGGGACCTGGATGGTGACCTAATTCCTGCCCGGATTGGGAAAAGCCACCAAATCGAATTCCCTCTCCACTCACCTCAGCATAAAAGTGCACTGACTTACTGTCAGCCAGCTGTAGTTGAGAAGTCAGCTCCACTATCCTGGCCATGTAGTGATTTTTAATTAAGTCTTCACGAGATTCCACATCTGGAAGCTAAACAGAGCACACAGAACTAAGTAAATAAATGCCAGTGAAATGAAGCAGTTCTAGAAAAGATGACCATCACTCTAGAAGAAGAAGGAAAAAAGACAACATTTTGTACATTTTCATGTGAAATCTGATGGGAAATCATAGCTTCCCTACCCCTCGAAGAAACTTCAGACAAACCAGGTAAATGTATATTCCACATTTCTCTTATTCAGCATCCTGCCTATGTCAGAACAAGGTTGTGGCTTCAAAAGAACAGAGCAGAAGTGAAGTACTGGGAGGCCCACGACCTTTGGGGCCATGTCCCTCCATCGGCTTTGACAAGCCACAAACCTGGCCTTCAAAATCCCCATCCGTCGGACACCTGCATCCCCCTCTCAGTTGGAGAAGGCACAGGACAGGGAGCATTTACTAGAACCCCTAAAAGCCAAACATTCTTTTTTTTCCCCCAAATTATCTTAAGACGGTTCTAATACTCTTAAACACACTAACCAATTACACTATTTCTATAATGAACAGTTTACAGCCCTTGTCCCAGACCAATGTTTCTTCTAGTTACTCTAGCAATGGTATGCTATAGAGTTTAATTTAAAAACACACACAGAAGTTCAAGATTACCTAAAGTAAAAGCCCAATAAGGAAATCAAAGAGTTTACCAACCTACTGGAACTGTGTTTACCAGCTTGTCACACTGAGTAGAAAGCTGAAGAACTTCAATGTTCCTTGAGTGGTTATTTATAAAGTTACATTTTATAATACTTCCAAACTCAAAAGCCAAATCTGACCTGGGTTCCCTCACTTGAGGAGTGGGAAGAACTCACAAGCACACTGTTGGTCAAGGCCCTGAGAAGCCCTGTTCCCCAGCCTGCCCACTGGGAGGGCTGATGCCTCCAGCCTCACGCAGGATGCCAGCCAAGCTGCTGGCCAGGCTCCCACCACACCTTGTCAAACTGCCAAGCCAAGTCATTCAACGAGGCGATTACAAAAACAGGCTATAATTTGTTGGTGACAGTTAAAGTAGAACCAGAAAGAAAAGCAACATGGATCCACGGATGGAGGAGAAAAACACTGGCTCCACATTTGCTAGAAACGTCAGAAAACAATTTGACAAGGCTGACTTCTGCAGGACTTTGTGAATAAACACACAGCCAAATATTTACAAACAAACGTGATGCCAAGCACACATTACCTCATTGTCAGATGTCCTGGTTAAAATCCCAATCTAGAACATAAGAGGAAAAAAAGCTTTAGAACAGACTGTTTTCACTTCCAACACAATAGCTGCAACACTTGTAATACTTTCTCTTCTCAGTTCACACTGTGTTTAAGTGCATGAGTGCAGACCTAGAAGATCACCTGTCTGGTCTTCTACCTACCAGGAAGCTGTACCTACAGAGAGCTAACTGCGTTCCCTACTTCCGTCATGAGGCAGTAATGGATAACGATCACTATTTCCTATCAAAATGCTGTAGTTCTTTTCACTGAAATCCAAAAACTGCCTGGGAAGAGAAAGAGGAAGAACAGCTTTGACTCATCTCGTCATTTCTATGCCTATTTCCAAAGCAGTAGACAAGGAGGGGTAAAGACAGTTTTATGGTGACCATAACAACTGAACATTCCAAACAGAAAACACAAATAACACTCTATTGAAAGTTCAAAAGGAGAAAGAAGAAATATATGTTTTGATACAATGTTATGACATTAGTAAGTATTCACACTTCAGATTTAAATTAATGAAAAAGAAAATGTACTGCCAAGTTGTTTAAAGCTTGCTTTTGTGGATTAAGATTTCAAAAACAGAGAGTCATGAATAATGGTTTCAGGTTACTGTCCAAGGTGGAAAGGCATGTGCTTGGGCATAATAACTTAAGGAAACGTAGAAACTCAGCTTCAGTGGATTCTGATACTCTCACAGATGACACCCAATAAACAGTTTTCACAGATTCTAAATCATCTCCTCAAGAGTATTACTCTTAACAGTGAACCGTATACCAACTGAGTGTATGCTAATGAATGTCATGCCCACCTAGCTGTAAAAAGGATCATTTATAAGACTTTTTTTTTAAAGAACCATAATTTTCTACTCACTGAAGCAGAAGTAGCAATTAGTCTTTCTCTTTTAGTTAAAAACTGTCTGTGGTAACACGCCAACCATTTAATTTTATATATTTAAATACGACTAGACTACATTTGGCAAAAGAAACTCTGAGTGTGCATCTATATTCTGCCTCCCCACCCTTATCCCCTGACTCCCAGGTTACAATCTGAGAATGTGTTACAGCACACAGACCCACAAAGAAAAGGTATTATATAAATGGAAGGAAAACTTAATGTACATAATTTCAACATTTTCTCATATGATGCTAATGGGAGTGTAAACTGATACAGCCTTTTTAGAAAACAATTTGGCATTAAAAGGTCAAGAAACTCTAAAACATTCACGCCTTTTGACCTAGTAAACTCTAACCCTGAGATTTACATCCCAAAGACATCATCTAAGATGCAGAAAAAAACCTTATGCATAAAAGGAGATGGTATTTAAAATAGTAAAAATTATAACCAATGTCCACTTATAGGCAAACTAAGGTATATTTTAGGTAGAATACTATGCAATCAACAACTAAGTTTATACAGATTTCTGATAATATGATAAATGTTTGTGTATTCACATTACCCTAAAAGGTTTGAAAATTTTATATAGCACAGTATCAACCATGTGTGAAATTCTGCAGGAAAATGTTAACAGTAGTTGCTTGGGTATTCAGGAGCATGTCAACTTTTTTCTTCTCTTACACTTCTGTAGTTTTTAATTATCTACAGTGTACATGTACTCTCTCTATACATAAAACATTTAAAATTCTACGAGTGCTTTTTAATTCCAGCAAGAACCAGAAATTTGTATTATTCTGTGCTTTTCCTTTCCTGAGGTTACTGCCATCTTTTATTACGATAAATCAGCAGGTGGCTAAAAGATCAAATTACACTATTAGGTATTTTAATGACAAATACTATGCATTCAACTATTGAAGTGCCATAGGGTTAGAAATAGTATTTCTATATGATGTAACTTTTTCAGTCCCAAGGTGCTTGAACCAAACTAATTTTCTGAGGGCTTGTAAGATGAGCTCCGTTAGTCAGTTAATTTTAAAATGGGCACAGACGTGCTCCAGACACCCGAAAGGAAGGACACACAGAGCTGCGTACTTAGTTCAATAAGTTCACTAAGGGCAGGTGGGGACAGGAGGATAAAAGAAAGGCTGAAAAGGAGAAACATCAAGGAAGGCAGAAAACACCATCACTTTTTTATCTCAATGGTCTCCAGGCTGTTTTTGGCAGGAATCCTCCACGTACAGGATGGAAGAAGAGTTACATGGTGAGACCCTTCTCCTGGCCTGAAATACTCTTCTGCTACCTTGGACTCCTGTTCACTTTTGAAACCCATTCATGTTACCTCTTCTGTGCCATCCTCCCTGTGCCCTCCAGCGGCCTCCTCTGTGACCCCACAGCACTCCACAGATGTCTACCCATGCCTGTGCTCCCTTAGATTGAAAGCAACAAAGACCTACTGTGAAAAAGGAAAGGAGGCCAATCATGTCTTGGTTCTCTAATCCTGACCATCATAGACAACACCCAAAACTGGGGTTCACGGAAACTGTGGCACCTCAGCTGTACCTGAAATCATGGGTAGAATTCTGAATTCAAGAAAGTCAAGGAGAAGGAAAGAGGAGTTGGAAGGCAAAAGCTTGTGAGTATACAGGTGATAGGGGTTATGAATGAACAGATATCAAAAGAAACAGCTTGAACGAAGACAAGGAAGCAAAAATGCAAAGAATGTTATCAGCGAAGAGCTCAGTTTGGCTTTGTACAAAGAGATGTAGAAGACAGGGCAAGAAAGGTAGTCTGGAAAAGGTATCCACAGACCGAGAATGCCAAACAAGTGAGTGGATTATATTCTATAGATAACAGGGAGCCACCAGAAGTCTAAAAACAAGAGTACATAATCAGTAATATACTCTAGGAAAATTACTTTGATAGCACCTTATGAGCTGGGTGGGAGGAAAGAGACCCTTAAGAGATGTGAACAGAAGAAATCAAGGCCATGTACAAACACGCTAATTGGACAGACTACTGAAAGTAGTGACTTCCAAACTCACCAAACACAAATCACATTATCATCACTCATGGCCCAACAGTGCTCAGCACTAAAGGTTTCCCATGTCCCTGGAAATCCTTCTCACTTACATACCTAATAACCATGCTTGCCATTGAAGATGTTCAAATAAAGACAGGCCTGAACTTTCAGCAAGTGACTTTAATGACTCAAATACACCAATGTTGCCAACTCCCAGCACTTCAAGGAAGGCAAGCAGTAAACAAATGACTTTATGTCAGCTGATCTGTTTTCTGACACCAATCATCAGAGCACAAGGCCACAGTTAAGAGGGGAGGGGAGTATGGCCCCAGATACCTTGGATTCCATCCTAGTTCCATCACTTACCAAGGGTGTGACTTCAGCTGAGTTATTTCACCTCTCTGTCCCCCAGTCTCATCTACAAAATAAAGATGACAGTACCTACAATATTGTAGGACCTGTGAGAGAACTGCCTGAGTTAACGTGCCCAAGGTCCGCAGCGCCAGCGCCAGAGCACGATCACTACATCACTGTTGTATGAGCACTCTTCCTGGCTGGTCTGGTCCAAGTTACTCCCTGGCCACCCAAGCAACTTCACTGCTAGCGCAAGTGAAAGCCGAGGGAAGGAACAGATACAGGGAAGCAGAAAGAGAGGGGGTTGAAAGAAGAAATCCGACCAGAGGGAGAAAGGTCTGACCAGATCAATGAGACAGACTCTGAAGGGAAACCCAAAGACACCTGAACAGATGTCAACATCCTGCTATGTGTGCTGAATGTGCCCCTAGGCAGTCAGTCCGCTTCCCCTAGCCAGAGGCAACGTGCAGGACTCGTGTCTGGGACTCAGACCTGGGACCAGGGCGTCACTATAGGATCATCCTGTGAGCATGGTGTCCACACAAGTCAAAACCCTGAGAAGTTCAGTTTATGTTTTCTTGCTTTTCTAAAAATTTTAATTCTTTTTTTCTCCCCATATTTTATTAAGAAAAGTTCCAAACATACAGAAAGTTGGGGGGAAAAAGTTTAAGAAACATCTGTATATTGGGGCGCCTGGGTGGCTCAGTCAGTTAAGCATCTGCCTTCGGCTTAGGTCATGATCCCAGGATCCTGGGATGGAGCCCCGCATCAGGTTCCCTACTCAGCAGGGAGCCTGCTTCTCCCTCTCCTACTCCCCCTGCTTGTGCTCTCTCTCCCTGTCAAATAAATAAAAAATAAAATCTTTTAAAAAAAAGAACAAAAGAAATATAAGGTTGTAAGATAACCTGATGGGTTTCTGTATTATATATATGTTGTGAAACTTTATACTGTTTAGGAATCATGTAATTAGTTTAAAATGGTATACGTGGCCATTTCTATGAAAAGGTAGACATTCAAGCCCTTGTTCAGAAACATAACCCATATTACAAATGTTTCTATGGGATGAACCATGAGAGACTATGGACTCTTGAGAAACAAACTGAGGGTTCTAGAGGGGAGGGGGGTGGGGGGATGGGTCAGCCTGGTGATGGGTATTAAGGAGGGCACGTATCGAATGGAACACTGGGTGTTATACGCAAACAATGAATCATGGAACACTACATCAAAAACTAATGATGTCATGTATGGTAATTAACATAACAATAAAATTTAAAAAACAAAAACAACAACAACAAAAAACAAATGTTTCTATGGAAAAACAAAATCACCTTAAATTTGACTTAGTAGACCTTTTCCAGGAATACAGTCCTCACCATGGGGAAGTCTCATGCAAAATCAAAGGAAATATAATGGAATAGCTTTTTGAAGGAGGCATCCTGCTTACCACTTGCTTTTTCTGGTATGTGTGGATTATACCTGTTTTACACTGACTGACCTGTTATTTATTTATTTATTTATTTATTTATTTATTTATTTATTTAAGAGGCAGGGCTGGTAAGGGACAGAGGGAAAGGGAGAGAGAGAATCACAAGCAGGCGCCATGCCCAGCGCAGAGCCCAACGCAGGGCTTGATCTCACATCCCTGAGATCATGACCTGAGTCGAAATCAAGAGTCAGACGTTTAACTGACTAAGTCACCAGATGCCCACACTGACATGTAATTTCGATGGTTCACACCAAACACTAGGTTAAGTCCTTACCAACTGGCATTACAAAAGAAGACACTTACCAGACTGGTGCTGTGAGCAGGCTCCAGCACAGCCTTGGCTGAGGCTTCTTCCCGGCTCGCCGCATTCACGCCGGTGGCATTTTCCTGGGCCAGCCCAAGCGCCTGTCCACTGCTCGTACTCCTCAGCTTATCTGCAATTCGCTGGTTTTCCTTCTCCAGCTTGATTTTGGCTAACTGTGCTTCCAACATCCAATGTTCTTTTTCCTGCTCCAGTTTAGAGATCTTTTCCAAACTCTGCTGAACCTTGAAAAGCAATAGAGTTCTGCACCTTAGAGGATGATGCAGATAAAACTTAGTGGCTCAAGAAAGGCTTCACAGAACATCAACCCCAACTACCTCCCAGAAGTAAAAACAAAAAAGCCTGATTGTTAAACACGGAAAAGGAAATACTGAACAAGATACAAAAAGCACAAACAGAAACTGAGAGAGTGGAGAGTAAAATTAAGAATCTCTATTCATCAAAAGATATCATTAAGAGAGTGTAAAGGAAAGCCACAAAATGGAAGGCATCTGCAAAGCATGTATCCAACAGAGGACTATTATCTAGAATATATAAAGAACTTCTACAAATTATAAGAAAAAGATGGGACAACCCAGTAGAAAAATAGAAAAAAAAAAAAAGAAGACCTGAACAGACACTGAACAAGACTAAAAACATAAAAAAAGAAGGTATTCAATGTCACTATCAAGAAAAAGCAATTTAAAACCGCCCGCATGATTACAACTAAAAAGATAGAAAATACAAAGGTGGGCATATTTGTGGAGCATTTGGAACTACCATCTAGTGCTGGGAGGACTGGAATTTGGGACAAACACTTTAAAAAACCGTTTGGCTGGATCTTTAAAGCTGATGACATCCTATCCTATGCCCCAGCAATTCTACTTCCAGGTGTATCCCCGACAGAACAGTGTGCATATTTACCAGAGACATGTGTAAGGATGCTCACAGGAGCACCAGGATAGCCAAACACCTGAAACTACCCAAACACTCCTTAGGCCGTAAAAAAGAATACTGCCTACTCACACAATAGAATACTCAACAACAATGAAAATGGACAGATCACAATTACATATAACACGGATGAGTATTACAAATACGTTGGACAAAAGAAGCCAGACCTGAAAGAATATATGTTATATAACCTCATTTAATGAAAAGTCCATTTACTGAATTTTTACACTAATCTTAGAGTGCAGGATGATCGATCTCTTTGGAGGCAAGGAGAATAATAACTGGAAAGGGGCACAAGGAAGGCTTCTGGCAATTTTTTTTAAAGGTATACTTTACATAAAGAAATGTTCTTTTTAAAAAAATTTATCTAAGGTGCTAGTTACATCAGTATGTTCACTTGTGAAAATTCACTGGGCTATATATATAGTTGACCCTTGAACAACCCAGGTTTGAACTACGTGGATCCACTTATACAAGGATTTGTTTCAATACATACAGTACAGTACTATTAACGTATTTTCTCTTCCTTATGATTTTGTTAATAACATCTTTTCCCTAGCTTACTTTATTGTAAGAATGTGGTATATAATACACATAATATACAAAATATTTATTAATCAGCTATTTATGCCCTTAGTGGGGCTTCCAGTCAACAGTAGTTAAGTTTTTGGGGAGTCAAGAGTTCTATACGGATTATTGAGTGCACGGGGGGGGGTGTCAATGCCCCTAACCCCCATGTTGTTCAAGGGTCAACTATACATTAAGTATTTGTATACTTTTTTTTAAGTATGTTATATTCCATTCAATAAGAAGTTTAAAAAACTAATTCTCAGGACAAATAAAAGTTTGAGAATTACATGAAAATAAAAGCAAGCTTGCAGTGAGTTCCAAATGTTTTACCAACTATCATGGCTGCGCAATTACCAAGCAGCAGACACTGTTCATGGTACTTTCCTGACATTAACCCACTGAAGCCTCCCAGTCCTTCAATTCTCATTTCTCAAAGAACCGAACTAAAGCTCCCAGCAGCTGAACCACCTGCTAAGCTAGCAAATGGCAAAGCAAGGATCGGGACCCCACGTGTCTGGCTCACAACTCTGATTCTTTTCACTGTATCACACTGCCTCCCCTTGGCTCAATTAATCCTTCCACGACCCTGAAAGGCAGATATTATCCTCAGTGCAGAGAGGCAGGAAGTGACGCCCAGTGCTTATCAGACTAGCCTGCAGCTGGTCAACGGCAGAGTGGGAAAAGCAACAGCTCTGAAGCCAGACAGCTCTCCCCACTTACTAGCTACGTTGGGTAAAAGCTGCTTACTTTCTTGGAGCCTTACTTTTCTTGATAAAATAAGAAGAAAATGGAAAATCAATTTTTAAAGTGTTCTCCATCTTATTGTTTATCCCAGGAATTTTGTTTTTCAGGAATTACTCTCTGAATTAAGTTTTCAGTTCCAACATCCTAGCATATTAATGTCAAAAAGATAAGTGATACGTGCCAGTATGGACAAAATAAAGTCTCAGGTGAATTTATTTGCACTGTCTTTTAAGATAAATACTTCCAAAACTTAAAGCAAGCCTGCTGTTGAAGGGAGTAAGTCTCTGACAAAAGCTAAACCAGTGTCAGCGGGCACCAACTTCTGGAAAAGTTAGTCCCTCCCACCTCCACCTAGCCCCCAAGTTCAACTGCCCAACTAACTGAACATTGGAAATTTCCCTTCCTGATCATTTAAGAAATAAAAATAACGGAGTCTCTAGCTCCTCCCCCTTTTTTGCCTTATTATTCCCGACATCTAAATCTAGTGCCTAGAGAAAAAAAGAATCACCATGTCCCAAGTGTGTTGATATTACTTTAGTGGCAGTTATACCACCAACTGAATCAAGATGACTTATTTAGAGTATCAACAAACGTTCTTCAGTGAATTATGCTTATGGTGCTTTTTAGCATGTGTTAAACCACTAATTTTACATGTTTACTTATATAACCTTTTAAATTGTTCTGTGTTAAAAGCCTTTTCCAGGGGATTTAACATTTATGCTCTTTTAACAAGTAGCATGATTTGCCAGGCACCATACCTGTTGGGCAAGGCCTTCTCGACTTTCCGTAGAGCTAAGAAGGACCCGGCGGTTGGCCAGTGCTTCTTCGTAAGGCACAGACTCCACAAGGGGCTATGGAAAAAGCATCATAAGAATTCAAGAAAAAGTTCGTATCATTCCCTGATCCTACCTACACAAATAAGAATCCTAAGTGGGGTTCAACAATAAATTCAGATACACACCAACATACACTACTTCATTTACTAATGTGACAAGGAATTTTTTTTTTTTTAGATTTTATTTATTTGACAGAGAGAGCACAAGCAGAGGGAGAGAGAGGGAGAAGCAGGCTCCCTGCTGAACAAGGAGCCCGATGTGGAACTCGATCCCAGGATCCTGGGATCATGACCCGGGCCGAAGGCAGCCGCTTAACCGACTGAGCCCCCCCAGGCATCCCAGACAAGGAACTTTTTTTTTTTTTTAAAGATTTTATTTATTTGACAGAGAGAGACACAGCGAGAGAGGGAACACAAGCAAGGGGAGTGGGAGAGGGAGAAGCAGGCTCCCTGCTGAGCAGGGAGCCCGATGTGGGGCTCGATCCCAGGACTCTGGGATCATGACCTGAGCCAAAGGCAGATGCTTAACAACTGAGCCACCCAGGCGCCCCGACAAGGAACTTTTTTAAAGAAAAATAATGAAGAGGGACTTGTCATTCCAGTTATAATCTACACTAACTAAAGCCATAGGGACTTGTACCGAATACCATATGATTTCACTTCTATGTGAAATCTAAACAACAACACGAAACAAAACAAAACAAAAAACAGAAACAGACTCAGATACAGAGAACAATCAGATGGTTGCTGGGTGGAAGGGGAGTGGGAAGATGGGCAAAATAGGGACAGGGGATTAAAAGGTACAAACTTTCAGTTATAAAATAAATAAGGCACAGGGATACAAACATACAACGCAAGGAATATAAATAATAAGTAGCAACTTTGTATGGTGACAAATGGTAGCTAGACCTATCTTGGTGATCACTTTATAATGTATATAAATGTTAAATAACTATGTTGTACACCTGGAACTATATAATATACGTCACTTACATCTCAATTTAAAAAAAAAAAAAAAAGCAGATTGTCAGGAGATGGGGGCAGAGAGGCAGGAGTAAAAATTACTAAGGGGCTGGCACCTGGGTGGCTCAGTCGATTCAGCGTCTGCCTTCAGCTCAGGACATGATCCTGGGGTCCTGGGATCAGGTCCCACATCGGGTTCCCTGCTCTGCGGGAAGCCTGCTTCTCCCTCTGCCTCTGCCTGCCACTCCCCCTGCTTGTGCTCTCTCTCTCTCTGTCAAATAAATAAATAAATAAAATCTTAAAAAA